GTTGCGAATTGGCGCCGGGCAGAGATTGGTTAAGCTAGACAGCCGGGTCGCCCAAGTCTGCCCAGTGTTGCGAATTGGCGCCGGGCAGAGATTGGTTAAGCTCAACAGCGGCGGGCACACGTTCACCGATGGGTTGCGAATTGGCGCCGGGCAGAGATTGGTTAAGCTGCCCAACTGGCTGAACTGGCTCACCGGCTGTTGCGAATTGGCGCCGGGCAGAGATTGGTTAAGCTGGGCACGCCTGGTAGTAGTCGTTGTTGAGGTTGCGAATTGGCGCCGGGCAGAGATTGGTTAAGCTCGTCCGGCACCGACGAAAACACATTCCGTGGTTGCGAATTGGCGCCGGGCAGAGATTGGTTAAGCTAACGCGGTGGAGCACCTCTACGAGCTGGAGGTTGCGAATTGGCGCCGGGCAGAGATTGGTTAAGCTCGGCGGTGTTCGCGCAAAGCACCGGCGCCGTTGCGAATTGGCGCCGGGCAGAGATTGGTTAAGCTCGCTCACTGCCTAACTCGTGACTACGCAAGGACTTCGTGCCCAACGGCTGGCTAGAAAAGCTCAAGTTGATGAGGAGGTTGCTCAATCGCACGGCGTTTTCGCCCCCAGAATATCTGCATCCGCTCGAACTGTTTATCGGTGATGGCCAGCACCCGCACCTCGCCTGCGGGGGGGAGGTGGGCCTCGATCCGCGCAAGATGCACCTCGGCGTTCTCGCGGCTCGGGCAGGGCCGAGCATACACCGAGTACTGCATCTGCTGAAACCCGTTGCTGATCAGCTGCTTGCGGAACAGGGTGTAGTTCCGCCGCGCGTCCCGCGTGTCGGTCGGCAGGTCGAACATCGCCAGCACCCACATCAGCCGGTACCCTGTGATCCGCATGTTCGGTTCCTAACGACTGCTGTGGGCGTCGTTCACCGGCAACGGGATCGCTAGCCGCCGCTCCTCGCCCGCGTAGCAGCCCGCCAGCGATGCCGCCACACGGTGCAGCATCACCATCAATGGCCCCGTCTGTGGCTTGCCGCCGATCTGCATCGGCGTGGTGAGCACGCCGAGAAGCTCCGCCTTCGCGGGCTGTTCGAGCGTGACGTACCCCTGGCGGTGCATCTCGCGGACCCGCTCGTCGACCAGGGGTCGGAACGGCTCGATCAGGTCGTCCGCCAGGCAGAACGCGTTGCCCCGTCCCACGTGGTGCAGGCCGAGCCCCGGCTGCAGCCCGGCGGCCACAATCGTGCGGCCGATGGCCGCACGCAGGATCGCGTAGCCGTAGTTCAAGAACGCGTTCAGTCCACCGGCGTTCGCGTCCCGGCGGAACGGCTCGGTGTCCGCTTCCAGGGTATCGGCCGTAGCGAGCCAGTTACGCCAGTACACCTTGGCCGCGTGGGCCTCGACGTTTGTGGGGTCGCCCGAGCGCACTTCGTCGGCCAACGCCAGCAGCTTCTTCTGCGCCGGCAGCCGGGGGTCGACGTTGCGGGCCTGGGCCTGGATCTTGGCGACCACCAACTGCTTCCAGAGCCGTTTTTTCAGCGGTCGGCTAGCGGCGATCTGGTCCGCCATCCGCGACACCAGCTGCGAGTGCTGCGCCAGCGGCAACACCAATGCGGCGGGCAGGTGGTCGCGTCCGCACAGCACGACCGCCGCGCCCGCCTCGGCCAGCGACACCAACGCGTGGTGGCTGTAGGTCGCCTGCGGGTGGTCCACCATCACCACGCCCAGGTCCTCGCACGGCGCATGGCCTACCACCTGGCCGTCGCGTTTAAGCAAAAGCTGTTGGTTGCGGACCGCCAAGTGCGCGGCGTAGCGCGAGATTTCTAGGGTGCGTTTGATCACGGCGGCGTCCGCTGAGGGGAGGGCCGTCCGTGACCGGGGCTGCACATTTCACCCTAATCACCGAGGCGTGCGGCCGCCAGCAAAATCAGTCGTTCGCCCAGCGGATCTGCCCCAACGGGGTAACCGTCACTTTGCGGGCGTCAAGCGTGTTCGCCATGAACGTGTGTTTCCGCTGCTCGCTGCTGCGGCGCGCGTCGGTGTGTTCGACAAACCAGAACTGCCCGGAAGTGGAGGCCGCGGTCTTGAACTGCAGCAGTTTCTCCTCCCCTTTGACGTTGGCCAGCACCAGTTCGCGGCTCGAGAGCGACATGACGAACTTGGCCTCGGGACGCTCGGGGTGTTCGCGCTGGATAATCTCCTCACCCCGCTTGATCCGCTGGGTCGCCTCGAGCATGGTGACAAACACCGCCTCACGCTTGGGCTTGCTATTCTCCTCGAATTCAAAGAGGCAGAGGTGGTGTGTCGCGCCGGGCTTGACGTACGCCTGGTTCGCGGCGCCCTCCTCGCGGAGCGGGGCGATGGTCTTCTCCGGCTTGATCAGCCGCACGCGTTTGATCGGCACGCCCGAAGGCATCCGCAGGTGCGACAGCACCGCCTTCATCTTCTTGACGTCCGGTTTCTTGCCGCGTCCGAACTCTACGCCGGCCGCTGCCAGGGCGTCGTGCACAATCTTACGGATGCCGCCGTCGCGGACCCGCTCGACCTCGGCCGGCGAGAGGCTGTCGACCGGCTTGCGCACGACCCATTCGTCGGGCTTGTCGGTCGGGCCGTAGAGGGTCTCCTCGTGCAGCGCGCCGCGGACCTTTCGCTCCACCTTGTGCGAAACGTTGATCCGCTTTACCTGCTCGACAATACTCGGGCGGAAGTTGTCCCACGGCTCCAGCAGCGTTTCGCCGTGCTGCTTGGCGCCGCCTTTCTTCACTAGGTCGGATAGCTGCAGCAGCCGCTTGCGGTTGGTTAACGCAACGACCACCGCATCGATCGCGTGGTGGCGGTGGTCGGCGCGGTTCTTCTCGCCACCACGCAGCTTCGCGTCATCCTGCCACGCGGGGCTGTCGGGCAGCTCGGAGAGGATGGTGTCGAGGCCCCACTGCCACCGCAGCTCGGCGGTGAGCTGGCCCTTGAGGCCCAGCACCCGGCTGGGCTTGTCGAACAATAGCTGTACGTACTCGACCGTCGCGCGGCAGATGTAGCCGGTGTCGGTGAGCTGGCGGGCGATGAACCCGTCGAGCTTCAGCTCCTTCTGCAGGAACCGGCGGTACTTGGCGTACCGCATAAGCCCCTTACGCATCAGCGCGCCGGCCCGCTGGCAGATCGCGGCGTACTGGTTTGGGTCGCTGTCGGCCAGCCACTCGTAGGGGGTCTTCTGGCCCTTGGCGTGGTTGCATTCGCGGTGGCACACCACCTTGTTCGCCTGCGAGTCGTCCAAGCAGCGGGAGTAGGGGAGGATGTGATCGATGTCGGTCGCGCCGCCGAACAGCTGCTTCTGGCTGATCGGCTTGCCACAGTAGACGCACTCGCACGACTGCTCGCGCCACAGCCGGTGCTTCATGATGCTGTCGCGGCTCGGCCGCTCTCCCGCGTCGCGGATGGCGGCGGCCGCTTCTTCTCGATCTCTTTCGAAGGCTCGAATTCTGCTGTTGTATTCGCTTCGCGCTTTGGGGCCCATCGCTAGGCTGCGCGCCATCTCGACGTGTATAGCGTCCGGCTTGCCGTGCTCTCTAATGATGGCGTTGACGACCTTGCGGACCTCGACCAGTGCGCGGCGGACTACTGGGTTCGGCAGGTCGCCCAGCTTGCAGTCCTTCGCGTTTACGCGGCTGAGATCAGGCAGGTAGTCGAACAGCCTCCGCTGTAGCTCGTCGCGGCGCAGGTATCCGGCCGCGTGCAGTGCGCTCTGCTCAGGGTTGCTCTGCGATTGGTAGATCAGGCCCCGCTCCAGGTGCGGCAGCAGCTTGTCGATCGCCACGCGGGACAGCATGCCATAACCGGTCGGCAGATCGACGTCGAGCGCCGCGTCGGCCTGGTCGGCGGTGAAGCCGTAGTCGTTGATCAGCGTGCTGACGACGCCGTCGTCGTCGGACTGGTTTTCGCGGAGCAGCGTGACGATGGCGTCCTTCTCTTCTTCCGGACGATCGTGCCACTGCTTGCCGCAGACCTTCTTGGATGCAAATAGACAGTCGAGCGTCATCCCCTTGATCGCGGTCCGCTTACCCCGCTCCAGATTGAACTTCACCGATTCGAGGAAGCCAAGCTTCGTGCGGAGCTGGTCGAAGGTCGCCTTCTCGCGGGTCGCCAGATTCTCGAGCACCAGCGTTCGCTGATCGGCGGACAGTGGGCACTCTTCATGGGTGTCAGGGTCGGCGTAGCGAAGGTTGTTCACTTCCTGCAGCAGCCGAGCCCGCTCCGCGTGGCGGTCGGCACGCGGGCAGCGTTTCTGTTTAGGCTCCAGTTCGCACAGGCCGACCACGTCTTTGGGCCAGTACATCGGCCGCTGGAAGAACAACAGGCCGTGCAGTCCGAACGCGTCGAGCTCATTGCGTCCCCCACGGCGCTCGTCGTTTTTGGGGATCGGCTTGCGGGGAGCGACCGCCTGCTGGGGATCGTCGATCGGACCGAGGGCGCCCCAGCGGAGCTGATCGGATAGCAGGTCGGGGTAGAACTCTGACTGCTTGTTCCATAACTGGTCGAACTCCTGGTAGGTGTTGCGTCGGAGCCAGTGGCGGTCGCGCACCTGACGCTCGTCTTTCTCGTCGCGGGGTTCGCAGTGGTCGGCCTTGGTCTTGCGGAGCTTCCGCGCGAGAAACTCGCCAATGGTGT